GGTAAGGAGAGGGAGGATTGTGTGGAAGGAGATGATTTGAGGATATATTTATCGACAGATGGGTACAAGGAATCAATGATTTTTTTATGATTCATTTGCATGTTGGAGGAGAAAATCATGACAAAACTAGGTGGGACTCATATGTAAATAGACACGCTCCAATAGAAATACAGTACTTTTGCGCATGCCACTATGCAACAGAATTGAATGAGCTGTCACTCATTCTCACCCCCGCCGCAAATTTATCTCATTATATCAATACTGGAATTTAATATTAAAATTTATAAACATTATTAATATTTGATAATGTATAAACATAGAAAATATATTTCCAGACATCACATACCATATCGTTCACAAATATATATTCACATTGTTTTCATCTTGCTTGTCAGTGAGTGATTACAGCGTGGCTAACTCCTATGATATGTTAACAATTGTTGTTCATGGAGTTAAAAAATGGCCATGGTAGCCTCAGAAGAAATGAAAAAAGATCTATAAATTCGTTTTTGCACTACGTGACCAATAGTTTGACATACGTGTTAAAAAGTCAGATGTTTAATATTAAACAATTTCAAATAAAATTAACCCGCATATAAAGTCAACTTTTCTATAAAAAATATACAAATTTGGCATACAATACTATTTCTTTTTTAATATTGGAATTTATAAAAAAATATTTATTAAGATTGGATGATGGATACACATCTCTGCTAATATAAAAATATATTTTTTAATGTCACATGAAAAGGAATAGGTCCAATAAAAAATCTCTATTTCTGAAAGTCCCATTCGCATGGCAACATGCATGCGGAGATGGATGGAAGGAATAATTCCAATCTAATTTGTACGGTTTATATGCATGTAGAATAATTCTAATTTGTACGGTTTATAGTGTGCATGCATGCATGCAGAGATGAATGGAGGGAATTAGTCCAAAACTAATTTATTTTTACGCCTTTTGCACTCCAACAAAGCACCACTGGTTATAAATAACCAGTGTTGGGTGAGGCCTCTAACAAAAATACCGGAAATCCTCCTACTATCGCCGACCTCCAAAATTATCCTACCTTTGTCAGCTGATAAGGCACTACGATCCTCCTCATTGCTATTTCCATTTTCATCTTTAATTCACATTCTTGCATGTATCATTGTGTTCATATAAATATTTGTAGAAACAATCAGTTTCACGTTCCAGCAAGTTCAAGATGTCGGCTGCCATGGGGAGTAAGTCAGGTGGCGGGAGAGGGCAGTGGTACCACCAGTAACAAAGTCAGTGAACAGGTAAATGAGCCAACAGTGAACATGGACTCCATAGATGATGGGGGTTAATTGGATCCATGCCACTGTAAATGTGGCAAATCAGAAAAATGCCACTATTATTTACCTTATTGTCTGGGTGCCACTAAAAAAAATTAAAATTGGATCTATGCCACTCCCGTCACTATTTCCGTCCTACTCTCTCACGTTGTCATCCTCCTCCGTCGCGTCTGCACGCTGAGAAGGCGAGTGACGAGGACAGTTGCGTGGAGGGGAGCGGGCGCAGCCGCTGCCGGCGAGGACGCTCGCGGGGAGGTCGCAGAGGGCCGCGGCCGCCGCCGAGGACACTCGTGGAGGCGGGCGCGGGCGCAGCCGCCGCCGGTGAGGATGCTCGCTGGAGGTCGCGGAGGGACACGGCTGCCGGCATGGACGGTCGCGGGCGCCGCCGAGGACAGTTGCGAAGGCGGGCGCGGGCGCCGCTGGCGAGGATGTTCGTGGGGAGGTCGCGGAGGCGGGCGCGGGCGCAGCCGCCGCCGGCGAGGACGCTCGCGGGGAGGTCGCGGAGGGGCGCGGCTGCCGGCGAGGACGGTCACGGAGGCGGGCGCGGGCGCGGGCGCCGCCGCTGGCGAGGACGGTCGCGAGAGCGGCTGCGGCCGCCGCCGGCGAGGGCATGCTTTCTTCCTACTCTTGATTTCTTCTTCCACCAGAGAAATCAATGAATGCTGCAATGTTGCTGCCATAGTGCCATTGCTTGCCTGCTCTGCTTCTGCTTGTTGTGCTTGTTGCTTGCTGGTTGCTGGCTCTTGCTGCTGCCGTCGGCCCGCTGCGTTGGCCCGCCTGCCATGCATGCTGTCTATTGGCCGGCTATCTCACCGCCGTCGTGCGGTTGCTTTGGCTCAGCACCAGCGCACAGCCGTCCTGATCGGCCCATCCGCCGTCGAGACGAGGACAACGAGAAGATGAAGACGGAGACGGCGGAAAATGTGATGGATAGGACGGAAATCGTGATGGAGTGGCATGGTTCTAATTTTAGTAGATTATAGTGGCATCTACCTGATTTCATGAATAGTAGTGACATTTTTCTAATTTGCCATATTTGCAGTGGCATGTATCCAATTAACCCTAGATGATGTACAACTTCCTTCAAATCCAAACACAAAGAGTGAGAACCATGAATACATGAAACAACATAGAATTGTCAGAATCCATTTGGACTATATGTATGATACCAACCATCGTGTTGAGAGTGACATGGAAGAATAGAAGTGCATGTTGGAATATATAAGTTATACCAAGATAACACCATCCTTTAAATTTATTAAATAATAGTGAGATATATGACCTCCTCAAGTACCAATAAAGCCGTCTTTGTTTTCTTGAGTCTTATGCATGCCAATAAAGAAATCTTTCATGTGGACTAGATTATTTTTATGATACAATTTTAATTTAGCATGTGCAAATGGTTTGACAAAAAGTGTATCTTCCAATTTGTTCTTTCTAAGCGCTAATTTTGTTCTTCCATAATCAGGGAATCTCGGGACAAATTCAAACATATAGTTGCCTCATGACATTGCCATATGGGACAATCATAGATATGGACGTGCTGATGGTCAAAAATAATTTATTATTACATTGCTTATGCTTTTAATTTTTGCAGATTTTGCTGGGGTCATAGCTAATGTGGGGCCAAAAGGACTGCAGTCTGGCTTAGATTATGGGCGTGAGAGATGTAGCACTATTAGATATTTGGTACTAAAGATGCTCAATATTCTTTACCCATATATTTTAATAATTTCATACTTAAACCACCAATCTTATTGCACCTTGCAGCTATGATATTGGATTTCTTTTGATGCTAGGTGATAAAGGATATTATTAGCGAGATATGCTAATGAGAGCAGAAGTAGAAAGGTCAATCATTGTTACAAGATCTGTAGAGTTTAACCATCAGACAAGTACGTACATGTGCGAGCATGTGTCTTTTCTCCTTTTTCGCAAAATTCACCAACAGATATGTGTATAGACATGTACATACTCGTCTAATGATTAATCTCTACAGAACTTGCAACAACGATTGACCTTTATATTTCTACTCTCATTAGAATATCTCGGTAATAATCTCCTTTATCACCAAGCATCAAAAGAATCCAATATCATGGCTGGAAAGTGCAATAAGGTTGGTGGCTTAAATATGAAATTATTAAAATATAATAGTAAAGAATATTGAGCATCTTTAGTACCAAATATCTAATAGTGCTACATCTCTCACGCCCATAGGCCAATCCGGACTAAAGTCCTTTGGCCCCACATTAGCTATGACCCCAGTAAAATCTGCAAAGAATAAAAGCATAAGCAATATAATAATAAATTATTTTTGAACATCAGCACGTCAATACCTATGATTGTCCCATGGGGCAATGTCATGAGGTAACTATATGCTTGAATTTGTCCTGAGATTGTCCGATTATAGAAGAACAAAATCAGTGTTTAGAAAGATTACATTGGAAGATACATTTTTTATCAAACCATTTGCACATGCTAAATTAAAATTTTATCATAATAATAATCCAGTCCACTTCCAAGATTTCTTTACTGGTACGTAAAAGACTTAAGAAAACAAAAACTGCTTTATTGGTACTTGCGGAGACCATATATCTCACTATTATTTAATAAATTGAAAGGTGGTGTTATCTTTGTATAACTTATGTATTACTACTTGCACTTGTATTTTTCCATATCACTCTCAACACGATGGTAGGTATCACATATATAGTCAAAAAGATTCTGACAAGACTGTTGTTTCATGTATTGATGTTGCTCACTCTTTGTGTTTGGATTTGTACGAGTATCTACGTCATCTATGGAGTCCATGTTTACTGTTGGTCCATTTATCTATTCATTGACTTTGTTAATGGTGGTACCACTACCCTCTCCCGCCACGCGACTTACTCCTTAGTGCAGCCAGCATCTTAAACTTGCTGGAACGTGAAACCGATTGGTTTCTACAAATATTTGTGTGAACACAATGATATATGCAAGAATGTGAACTAAATATGAAAATGGAAATAGCAAAGTGGAGGATCGTAGTGCCTTATTAGCTGACAAAGGCAAGACAATTTTGAAGGTCGACGATAGTAGGAGGATTTCTGGTATTTTGCTTGGAGGTTTCACCCAACACCGATTATTTATAGCCAATGGTACTCGTTGGAGTACAAAAGGCGAAAAGATAAATTAGTTAGGGACTAATTATCTCCATTCATCTTTGCATGCATGCACGCTATGAACCATACAAGTTAGAATTATTCCGCATGCACGGGAGATTGAAATCATTCCTTCCATCCATCCCCGCATGCATGTTGCCATGCGAATTAAACTTTCCAAAAATAGAGATTTTCTTATTAGACCTATTCCTTTCATTGTGACATTAAAAAACTAAATTTTATATTAGTAGAGATGTGTATCTATTATCCAATCTTAATAATATTATTTATAAATTCCAATATTAAAAAAAAGAAATAGTATTGTAAGCCAAATTTGTATTATCTTTTTTTTAAAAAAATTGACTTGATATGTGGGGTAATTTTATTTGAAAGTTTTTAATATCAAACATGTGACTTTTTAACACGTATGTCCAACTATTGGTCACGTAGTGCAAAAACGAATTTATAAATCTTTTTTCGTTTCTTCTTAGGCTAGAAGGCCATTTTTCAACTCCATGAACAACAATTGCTAACAAATAATTTTCGAACTAATTTATGCATTAATATCCTCGTCTAGGAATTAGCCGAGGTGCATGAAAGGACAATTTAATATACAGAATATCATAATAAGTAAAGCGATAAAATACTTACAGAAGAATAACTTAGTCCTCACCACGAAGAAAATTGCAGCGGAAAAATAAAATCTAGCGAAGCTTCAACTCAAATAGGATTTAAGACAAAGGTTTTCTCCTTCTGAATCCTTTGTCTCCAAGTGAGGTTTGATGATTATTGCAAGGCGAGTATATGAAATACTTCACAAAGCACACAACAAGTATGCAAGTGCACAGCGATAATATAGGATGGCATAATATAGGGTTCATTTGCAAAAGAAGCATTTGGCAAAGAGTTGAGAATTTGTAAAACAGTAGAGTAATTAATTAAAAGGTATTAATCCAATGATATACAACATACCTGTTGCATATGCCCCACCATATCTGAACAACCATGCTCGGTTGAACAGACCCAATCTCCAAACCAGGAGCTAAACCAAAGCATCATCATTTATCACATTATTATTTTTAATGAATATTCTGGTACTAATCACGAAAAAACATTGTTAGGCTCGCCCCATAACCGGAGGTGTATAAATTTACCCACAAGACATAGCCCATAACATGTAGCCATGCCATCAGTAGCACCACGATACCTCGAAACAGGATTGTGACAAGACACCTCGCATGACACAATTAAAAGCAATGCACTATCCCCGGATCATAGTCACCCTTTTTAAAGGGTATAGACTCCCCAGCAACCCTGTGGACTCTCTGCCACTTCTCAGTCTGGCACTCCACAATGAACCATATTGCTATACAACGCATCCAGACGTTGCTCACGTTGGCTTATGTCTGAGCCTTTACGAGTAGGATCAACAGTAGTTGAATGACAACAACCCTCTCGAGGACATACCTGGGCGACTGAGGCTCTTCCTAATGGAAGAAAGGACATCAAGTGTTAGGATGGATGTAATTCTTGAATTTCTAGCTCTCTACGTGAGGAACGGAGCTGTACTTCTGATGGAACCCTACCTTTAGGAGGGGGCACTTTGTTCCTATCTTGACTCTATCCGAGCAATGGATGATTTCTCTATTCTCCTGGATGATTTCTCTATTCTCCAGGCAGCTTATCAGGATCTGTGGGATCATGAGGAATGATAAGTTTTCTTCCGTGATGTGGTTTCCCACAACCGTGATTTCCTGGAAGCTCAAAGCATGAAAGGAATGTGGATTGAGGTGGAATGGAAATTGCTATATTCAAAGATAGAACGAGCCCAAGCAAGGCTCGAAAGAACCGAATTCCAACCCACTCTTTTGTTCTTCCAATTAGAAGATCGAAAGAGGGAGAGGGAGGAATAATATGCTTCAGAACCATTATCATTATCACAACAGTAGTTTGCGAACTGGTCGTTAATTGTCATCAGCATGGCCACCAAAACACTATGCTCACAACTCACCATTATCAGGTTTTAGCTGGCGATTATTTAATTAACCAATCATGATTTACCATCACGAGCTACCATTAAATAGCCATCATTAAGTAATTGTGAAGCATTCATTATCCCAATAGTGTGCTAATGTTTCTAAGCATGGATAAACAATTACATCTAATATATAGCTGAACCAATATATAAGGTCCAACCTAGTCAAATTATAACCCATAAGATAATAAAATCATCTTCGGCCATAATATGAGAAAAAAGGCTCACCACCCAATGACATTCGAAAATAAATACATATTTGATTGAAATAGAGAATTTTAAACATGTGTTCAGCATTCTCAAAGGGTATTTTGGATCTGTGTGACTTGCCTTACAAATAAGCATCTTCGTCTTCAGGAACTTCTCCAGTGAACGAACGATCCTTCATAAACAGAACGAGAGAAAACACTAATAGAAACCAAATAAACAGTACAACTGAAGTTCATAAATGAGTAGAGATATATGAATTATGAAACTTGAACAAGCTCATTCCGAGTTCATATGAATTGAAACTTGAACGAGCTCATTCCGAGTTCATATGAATTAATTATGAATTACTAAAGTTTTAATAATAAAACCCTATAAAAACGAACTAAATGATTTACTGCATCATATTTAATTATGTTTGTACGCAAAAGTAGAGGAATATGACGTCAGCACTAGGAGAGAAGAGAGATAAGGTTGATGACAGGTGGGACCTACTAGTCATGGAGCCGCTACCATGAACCAAGTCCACAAAATGGTCCACGGGTCCACGGGATGGATGGCTCAGATCGATCTTGACCGCCAGTTGATTGAGATCCAACCGATTAGATTGAAGCTGATCCAAGGTTTAGATCGGCTCCCACGTGGACAGAATGATGACGTGGCGCTGAGGTGGTGGTAATTTGGCAACGACGTGGAAGCCATGCGGGATCGACGCGGGCCGGCTTAGGAACCGAGGGTCGCCGGCGAACGGTGGTGCTCCGGCGGAAACAGAGGGCACGGGGAGGAAGAAGGGACCGAGGCGATCCTTACCACTACTTACACGATGACACATGGCGAAGGGAGACACCGGCGGCGAGCTCCAAAGGGCGGCGAGCTCGGGTCGGCGCAGGCGGCGGCTTTCCGGCGACGGGCCGCGGCATCGAAGGGGTAGACGGGCTTCTCCTCGGCGCTGCGATGACGGGGATGGCGACGGCAAAGGTTCGGAATGGCGGGAACAACGGTGGGTGACGGCTGGAGGTCGACGGGAGGCAGCGGCGCTCGGGTTCGTTTGGGTAAGCGGCTTCCGGCGGTCTTCGGCGCAAGGGAGCCGGCGGCCGAGGTAGCACTTGTCCTTGTGCAGCCGAAGGAGGCGACAGCGCAAGGCGGCGTCGACCAGAGGGGCGGCGCGACGCAACGTGGCCGGAGTTGGCGGCGGAGAGAGTGCAATCTCGCGGGGAGAGGTGGCTAGGGCACGGCGGCTCGGGGGAAAGGAGGGTACCAAAGAGGAGATCTGGGGCATCTTTATATAGGCGGAGGAGGTAGAGATCGAGTCGTATTTGAGGGATTCGGTCAAGGAAAATTAGTTCGTCGGGATAAGAACGGGGCAGAAATTCGCGCGATTTACTTCGCGAAAATTGGGGTTTCTTCGGGGAAGCCTAGAGGATTCCGTTTCCGTGATCAATTTTGGATGAGGAGCAACGGCGCGGGCGGATTTGGTGGAGGAGACTGTGTTGCAACGCACGGGCACGGGGAGTGAGGCTGGCTGGAGGAGGAAGACGGCACTGTGCCGAGTGGACCCGAAGCGTCAGAGAGAAGGGAGGTAGAGGGTTGCAAAGGAGACTTTTCTTTCTCTCTAGGCCGGACGAGAGAGAGGGGCGCGGGCTGCGGGCTGAGGAAGGTAGACAGGAGAGGAGTGAGCCGGATTTGGCCCGAGGGAAGGAAGAAAGATTTTAATTCCTTATTAATTTAAATAAATGTTGAAATGTTGTTTCACTTATTAAATATACTTCCAAAGCTCAAAAAATTACGGGAAGAATATAGAAAATACATGAACACTCAAAGTATTTAAGAGAAGTTTTATCTAGCTCAACACTTACTTTAATTATTAAAAAAATACCTAGAAATTTCTTTTTCACAACAATTTATAATTTAGCGGTTTTTAGGGTCTGACAGTTATCCGCATCGTAACCTCTCACTGACAAGCAAGACAAAAACAATGTGAATATATATTTGTGAACAATATGGTAACTGATGTCCAGAAATATATTTTCTATGTTTATCCATTATCAAATCTCAATAATGTTTATAAATTTTAATATTAAATTCTAGTGCTGATATAATGTGATAAATTAGTGATGGGGTGAGAATGAGTGACAGCTCATTCAATTCTGTTGCATAGTGGCATGCTTATAAGTATTGTATTTCTATTGGAGTGTGTCTATTTACATGCGAGTCCCACCTAGTTTTGTCATGATTATCTCCTCCAACATGCAAATGAATCATCAAAATTCATTAACACCTTGTACCCATCTGTCGATAAATATATCCTCAAATTATCTCCTTACTTCCACACAATCCTCCCTCTCCTCACCTCTCTCCTAACAGACGATCCACCTTCGTTGTATAAGCCCATGAGTTGATGAAATACTAATGGCATCTTATAAATCTGTTGATGAAGAATTGGATCCACCGCCACAGCAAGTGACCAAGAGAGAGCTCCATCAACCAATCAATTCAGAGAGAGTTGTTAGACGAGTGTTGACAAGTGCTGTTATACGCAATGGATAAGATCGGCCACAAGTGATGACGAGTGTTTTTTTTTACGGTTAAACAGCAGGAGAGGCTCCTATTGTGCTATATTAATAAATAATAATATGTACATAAGTGAGAGAATACAAGAGAGGGAGGGAGAAAGAAAGGGGAGTAAAAAAGAAAGAGTTCTATCTAATAGAATGTATCCATGATGGCCAACTTGGTTTGATTGTAGCCTTTACTTTGTGCATATGCCGAGTAAATTCCTCCTTGAAGTGTTCATACTTGCACTTGTATTTTTTCCGTGTCACTCTCAACATGATGGTTACTATCGTACATATAGTCAAAAAGGATTCTGACAGGTCTATGTTGTTTCATGTATTGACGGTGTTCTCTCTTTGTGTTTAGATTTGTAGGAGGTTATACATCATCTATGGAGTCCATGTTCACTGTTGGTTCATTTACCTGTTCACTGAACTTTGTTGCTGGTGGTACCGCTGCCTCTCCCGCTACCTGACTTACTCCCCATAGAACCCGACATCTTGAACTTGCTGGAAGGTGAAACTGATTGGTTTCTACAAATATTTGTATGAACACAATGATACATGCAGGAATGTGAACTAAAAATGAAAAAAAAAAGCAAAGGAAAGGATAATAGCACCTTACCAGCTCACAAAGGTAGGGTACTATTGGAGGTTGACGATAGTATGAGCATTTCTGGTATTTTAATTGTAGGCTTCACCCAACACCGGTTATTTATAGACAGCGGTGCTTGTTGGAGCGCAAAAAGGAGAAAAGATATTAGTTGGAGACTAATTCACTCCATTCATCTCTGCATGCATGCACGCTATCAACCATACAAGTTAGAATTATTCCGCATGCATATTGTCACGTAAGATTGGAATTATTCCTTCCATCCATCTCCGCATGCATGTTGCCATGCGAATGGAACTCTTTAAAAATAGAGATTTTTCTGATTGGACCTATTTCTTTTCATGTGACTTTAAAAAAATGATTTTTAAAGGAAAATGTGTAGTAGAGATGTGTATCCATCATCCAATCTTAATAAATATTTTTTTATAAAGGAAAAAGTATGATATACCCCCCTCCACGAACTACCACGGTCGATCGAATTACCCCCTAAACCACAAAACCAGATATTTTACACCCTCAAGTATTCATACCGGACAAATAACCCCTTTGAGCATTGTTCATAGCGGTTTAGAGTTGAGCTTGTACACGTGGCGCCAACGTGGAATCTAGTCAGCAAATAAAATAAAAAAAAATTCCCTGGGCCCACAAGTCATACATATTCCTCAATCAAATCCCTCCAAGTCCCCCTTGTGCGCTCTCTCTCTCTCTTTCTCAGGTGGCCAGCGGTGGAGGTGGACCTCGCTGGGCTGGGTGGCGACAGTGGCAGAGCGAGCTCGAGTGGCCGGCGGTGGAGGCGGTGGAGGAGTGAGCTCGGGAGGCTGCCGCCGGTGGCGAAACGAGCTCAGGTGGTCACGGTGGAGGCGGCAAGCTCGGACGGCCGACGGTGTAGGTGGAGGTAGAGGCGGAGCGCGTCGTTTGCACGAATCCACCGGTGTCTCTATGCGAAATCGCCGCCGCCGCCCAATCTCCCCAGCGTCATCCCTGTCCCCAACCTCCTTCTCGCTGTTGCCACCCCCAACCACCGTGGTGCCGCTTGACCTCAAGGTGGCTGGATCCACGTGGAGCTTACCTCAACGACCGGTAGCTCTAGTGGCTTATGGTGTAGGCGGACGCGGAGCGAGCTCGGGCGGCCGCTGACGGTGGAGGAGCGAGCTCGAGTGGTCGCAGTGGAGACGGCGAGCTTGGGCGACCGACGGTGGAGGCGGAGGTGGAGCGCGACGTCCGCGCCAACTACCCGCAACGTCCTTGGCCCCCCTCCGCAGCACCCAGCTTCTTCGCCGCCGTCCTCGGCTCACCACCACCGTTGAGTGCTGGAGTTGAGGGGAGGGAGAAGAGAGAGGGGGATTGGGGAAAGAGATATGATAGGGAGAGGTAGAGAGGGTGAAACTGACAGTGGGGCCCATTGATTTATTTAAAACAAAATAAAATTGCTGACTGTACTGCTACGTAGGACGAAAACCACTGCGGATTGAGCCAGGGGGGTTATTTGTCCGGTTTGCATAGTTCGCGGTGAAGGATGTCCGGTTTTGTAGTTCAGGGGGGGTAATTCGATCGACCGTGATAGACCAGGGGGGGTAATTCGTACTTTTTTCTTTTATATATTCCAAAATTTATTGTATGCCAAATTTGTAAAAAAGTTGACTTGATATGCGGGGTAATTTTATTTGAATTTTTTTATGTCAAACATGTGACTTTTTAACACGTATGTAAAACTATTGGTCACATAGTGCAAAAAAAAAAAATTATAGATATTTTTTCATTTCTTCTGAGGCTACCATGTCCATTTTTCAACTCCATGAACAACAATTGCTAACAGATCATAGGAGTTAGCCATGCCGTAATTTCTCACTGAAAAGCAAGATGAAAACAATGTAAATATATATTTGTCGAGGGGTGATCCTCTCTAGCGGGAGGCTATGAGGCCCCCCTTGTGAGTTCGGCCAGGGGACTGGGTGCAATGCTGAGGAACGTGTACTCGTCCGAGCGAGGCGAGTCTACAGGAATCAAGCTCTCGAGGTGGAAAGTGAGAGGGTGACATAGAGGGTTTATACAGGTTCGGGCCGCTATCAATCGTAACACCCTACTCCTGTCTGTGTGTGATGATCTTCGTGGGGTTACAAAGACTTCAGATCCTGGGAGTACAAGCTAGGGCTTAGCCAGCCTCTTCCCTAAACCTGGGTTTCTAAGAGACGTCCCCTTTTCTCGTAGGGCATGGTCCTCCTTTTATAGATGAAGGGGATACCACATGCATCGCCCCTGCTCTCTTCTCACGGGAGTGGGGCCCACAATGCCTATATTAAAATGCATCTTGTGCCTTGGGCCGGAAGCAATCCATGCGGCTAACCTTGGGTGGCCCCCACCGGAACTTTACGGCTGACACGGGGGGCACCCCCCATCATTCGCTATTAAATGTTTGGTGACTTCATGGGCACACGTTCATCGGAGATGACGACCTGCAGGACCTCCCACTGCGCATGATGGGACAGGGCATACCTGCTCCCACGCCGCCTGACACGAATCGGGACGTGGGTGCGCTGTCGCCCGTCCCATCCATCCATCACCGGGTCACAGACCGGTCAAAAGGCGGTCGCTAGGCGCACGTCCATCGGTGAACGGCGCATGCCCTGCCACGTCGCATTAAATGCGACCGGGGCGGTTGGCGCGCCGCTCATAAATGCGCCTGGTGGACAGCGCTCACGCCTGCTCGAGGCTCCTGCGTGGTCACCACGTGGCGGCCGAGCGAGGGCCTCAGGGGCGGTTCAACCCCTCGGGCCCGAGGGGTACGACGAGGTACCCCGAGCCCGGGGGAGGGGAGGGGGGACAGGCAGCCGCTTCCCAATCGAAGGCGTGACCCCCTGAGGGGGACCGGGCCCGCTGTGCGCGCCACACAGGAAGGGCTTTCCTTCCCCTTAGACCAGGTACCCCCTGGCCCATATCACCGACAATATTTGTGAATGATATGGTATGTGATGTCATTTCCTCCTACATGCAAGTGAATCATCCAAAAATCGTTGACTCATTGTACCCATCTGCCGATAAATATATTATCAAATCATCTCCTTACTCCCACACGTCCTCCTTCGTTGTATAAGCCCACGAGACTCACTAGTGCTGCAATACTCATGGCATCGTATGAATCGATTGACGATGAAGTGGATCCACCACCACAACAAGTGACCAAGAGTGAGTTCTATGAACCAATCAATTAGGAGAGAGCTGTTAGAGTTCCCTTTCAGTATATACGCGACGGATGTGATCGTGACGATGAGGGAGCTCCATCAGCCAGTCAATTCCTAGGGAGAAATGAAGAACTATGAAGATAACATCGTCAAGAGATGCAAACTGCCTAAGCCATGATTAGGTCTACTATGTTTTGACCTTAGAATAAAGTTTTATTAAGTTAGCCTTTCAACGTTGTTTGCAAAATACGCAAACCAAATCAAGAATGCTTGTTGTGTATGCTTTGACTTGGTAC